GCTGTGCCACACATCCCGCCTAACATTAATAATTCCAAAAAACAAACAAAACAAATTCAAATGTTATGTTTAAATGTGCACTGCTTTGCATACATTTCTAGAACATATATACTGTATGAACACTGGATAAAGCCAGGCTCAAAATTCATGTTTGATTTTTTTTTTTTTTTAAATTTTGGAAATCTGTTTCCAAAAAATACTTTTTCACCATGTTTCAAGAATAAAATGTGTAACTATGAATCAAGTCAATGATATATGAACAAACCCTTCAGTAAAATCCTTCAAAATATAGAGAGGAACAAAACTGTAAGTTTTGGTGTATGTAAGTGCTGCTGAAGTGGAGAAAAAACTTTTAAAGGTTTGTATTATATATTAAACATCTCCATACAAAGTGACACATCTTGCTATGAATCTGAGCAATTCAGAAACATCAAACCTTTGTGTTCTATGAAGGATTTTGCTAATTTACCCATCTTGATCTTGTTTCAATTCACAGATAATGTAGGCATTAAGACGACAGTTTATGCCATTATTGCTGCAAAACACAACATGTCAATTCCGAACCCGAAGACCAGAGACGACTTCCTTAAATGTGAGTGTTCATGAGGGTAATTATCGTTAATTAAATCTAAAACCATTAAAAAGATTTCTGTTTCTTGAAGTAAAATAAATGTAAAAAACAAATCACAGGTGAATAGGGTAAAATAATAACTAATAGATATCACCATACTTCCCTAGTTAATTGATTACATTTAAGCATTTAGCAGATGCTTTTATCCAAAGCAACTTACAAATGAGGACAATAGAAGCAATCAAATTGGCAAAAGAGCAACAATATAAAAGTGCTGTGCCACACATCCTGCCTAACATTAATAATTCCAAAAAACAAACAAAACAAATTCAAATGTTATGTTTAAATGTGCACTGCTTTGCATACATTTCTAGAACATATATACTGTATGAACACTGGATAAAGCCAGGCTCAAAATTCATATTTGATTTTTATTTTTTTATTTTTTTTTAATTTTGGAAATCTGTTTTTATCACTATAAATCAGCCAGGGGGAAAAAATACTTTTTCACCATGTTTCAAGAATAAAATGTGTAACTATGAATCAAGTCAATGATATATGAACAAACCCTTCAGTAAAATCCTTCAAAATATAGAGAGGAACAAAACTGTAAGTTTTGGTGTATGTAAGTGCTGCTGAAGTGGAGAAAAAACTTTTAAAGGTTTGTATTATAATTGAAATCTACAGACGCAAATAGACAAATTGAAATAATAAAATCAGGCCAATTATATATGAACAAACCCCTCAGTAAAAACCTTTAGAATATATAGAAATAAAACTGTAAGTTTTGGTGCATGTAAGTGCTGCTGAAGTGGAGAAAAAAGTGATTTTGAGAAAATTCCCTTTAAAAATATGTATTTGGCAAAAGAGCAACAATATAAAAGTGCTGTGCCACACATCCTGCCTAACATTAATAATTCCAAAAAACAAACAAAACAAATTCAAATGTTATGTTTAAATGTGCACTGCTTTGCATACATTTCTAGAACATATATACTGTATGAACACTGGATAAAGCCAGGCTCAAAATTCATATTTGATTTTTATTTTTTTATTTTTTTTTAATTTTGGAAATCTGTTTTTATCACTATAAATCAGCCAGGGGGAAAAAATACTTTTTCACCATGTTTCAAGAATAAAATGTGTAACTATGAATCAAGTCAATGATATATGAACAAACCCTTCAGTAAAATCCTTCAAAATATAGAGAGGAACAAAACTGTAAGTTTTGGTGTATGTAAGTGCTGCTGAAGTGGAGAAAAAACTTTTAAAGGTTTGTATTATAATTGAAATCTACAGACGCAAATAGATAAATTGAAATAATAAAATCAGGCCAATTATATATGAACAAACCCCTCAGTAAAAAACCTTTAGAATATATATAGAAATAAAACTGTAAGTTTTGGTGCATGTAAGTGCTGCTGAAATGGAGAAAAAAGTGATTTTGAGAAAATTCCCTTTAAAAATATGTATTGTAATTGAAATCTACAGACGCAAATAGATAAAGTACAAAAAAAATATCAGGCAATGAAATTTGAACAAATCCCTCAGTAAAATCCTTCAGAATATAGATAGGAATAAAACTGCTACGTTTGGTGTTTGTAAGTGCTTCTGAAGTGGAGAAAAAAACTTTTAAAGATTTCTATTGTAATTGAAATCTACAGACGCAAATAGATAAAGTGCAAAAATAAAATCAGGCCGAAGGATATATGAACAAACCCCTCGGTAAAAACCATCACAATATAGATACTAATAAAACTGTCAAGTTTGGTATATGTAAGTACCGCTGAAGTGGATTACTTTTATTGTAATTTAAATCTGCAAATACTGTAAGTGTAATAAAATAAACACTTAAATGTTGGATGCTTTCTTTCCACTAATCTAAAACAACACATTATAGAAGCCAAATAGCCCACAATCTCTAAATTAGTGCAGTGCAAAATTAGTTGCCTTAAAATGAAAACAGAAAATATAAACATAAAAAACTAATTCAAAATATGAATAAAAACTCTAATAGTACATTATGATACTGAAATAACAGTGATGTTCACTACAGAAACAGTGTCCAACTTCCAAGATTTAATTAATGTAATTCAACAGTGCTTCTCAACTGGTTTTGCTTCCCCTTAATATACAGTAGACTTGACTTTTTGCGCATTTTCTCCCATAGACGTCACGCCTCTGACCTTTGATGCAGATACGGCCCACCAGTATCTGCGTCTGACAGAAGAACGAAAGAAGGTGACAAACACGACGCCGTGGCAGCAGAGCTATCCAGAGCTCCCCGAGCGCTTCGAGCACTTCAAGCAGGTGCTGACGGTCGAGAGCTTCTACCTGGGCCGCCACTATTTCGAGGTGGACATGAGAGGAGAAGGCACTCACGTCGGCCTGACCTACAAGAGCATCGACCGCAAGGGATCCGAGAGCAACAGCTGCATCACGGGAAACAACTTCTCCTGGTGTGTGCAGTGGAACGGACGCAGCTTCTCCGCGTGGCACAGCGATGTGGAGACGCCACTCAGTGGCCCGAAAGCCACGCGGATCGGCGTGTACGTGGATTATTCCAGCGGCGTGCTGGCTTTTTATGATGTGGAAGAATGCATGACGCTCATCCACAAGCACCAGGCTGAGTTTCTGGAGCCGCTTTACCCAGCGTTCTGGCTGCCCAAGAAGGAGTGCGTCGTGCTTTTGGAGCCAGGAGCAGCGTCTTCCCTGACAACCACGTCTCCTGTTTCCTCTCCCAAATAAACTGCTTTTCCTCCTCATATCCACATAATTTCCATCTTACAGGGTCTCATTTTCACCTGGTTTTGTTCACCTTACACCGATACAGATTTAATGGTGTAAACAGGGCTATACGAGATCTACTGTAACTGTGACTGATATTAAAGTTTTATGAATAGGTTTATGAATATAAACCTATACCTATTAAAATACCTGCAAATGTTTTGTGCATTGATCACATATCACAATATATAATTGTATGTATAATTTTGTCTTACATGGATGAAACTATATATATATATGTGTATGATTTGTTAATATTTATGCATTATACTGTATATAGTGAAATAATATATATATATATATATAAAATGATATATATTCTATTTTGTAGTGTGTGTGTGTGTGCATATATATATATATATATAATAAAAATATTAAAATAAATATATATATATATGTATTTTATTCTATATTTCTATTTATTATATAGAAATTGCATATATTGATATATGCAGGGATTTTACATTGTTTCATTAATGTTCAAATATGTAAGACAGAAATTTCTCCTCTATATAGTAATGTTGCACAAGTGACCAAACCCATTTGACGTAGTTGGATATTGCAGGACATTTCACTTGGGTTGGGTTAACTGGACAGATATGGCTCTTTAATGATTCTGTCCACTGTCTGTATGCTGCTGTTTTCCCTTAGATGTTAAATTTTGCGCCCCTATCAAATGTGACAGGTGACACTTACATTGGCCACAAAAAAACATTGTCTGTCTCTGTAAATAAAAATGTACTACGATGAAATGCAGGTATTTGTCCATGTGTTTTGTTGAAGGGTGACATAACTGGTTCCGCCAGTGAACAGACAGAATGTCACAAAGCTACAGGCACTCATGAGTAATGCTTCACTGAGGATAATTATTACATACAGTGGGTACGGAAAGTATTCAGACCCCCTTAAATTTTTCACTCTTTGTTATATTGCAGCCATTTGCTAAAATCATTTAAGTAAATTTTTTTTCCTCATTAATGTACATCATGTGTAAAAAAGCAAAGAGAGAAAATCAAACATCACCGCATAAGGAAAAATGGCACATAGGTCTAAGCAATCATATACAATAATTTAATATACTTTAGTGACATAAATATCATTACATCAAAATACATAGAATTGTTTGATAATTTTATAAAATAATTCCCACATCAAAGTTTTAATTTTGCAAATAATCACAATGAACCAGCACATAAAAAAAGAAAATATTTAAGAAATAAATATGTGTGTGCGTGTGTGTAATTATTAAATATTAGAAATAGAGAGAGAGACATTTACATTTAGTCATTTAGCAGACGATAATTAAATAATTAGATAATTAGAGAGCACGAAATTAAATAAATATATAGTCTAAAATATATAGATAAATAGATAGCTTATTGCAGTTCTTGCCATAAAATGAAAATGGAAAATAAAAGCATAAAAACTCATTCAAAACATTAATAAAAACTCAATTCAATTCAAATTGTATTGCTAAATAATCTAAATTGTGAATTGGATATTGCACGTGATAAAAAAAATATTATTTACTAACTAATTAAGAAAAAGCGTTCAGTATATTATCATTTATATTTCTCTTTTTCTGTAAATGCTGTAAAAAAAAAAAAATAATAATAAAAAAATAAGTTTCGGCTCAGGCGCGATGTCGTCAGTCCGTACAGACCCGGAAGTGACGTGTCGTGTGACGTCAGCAACAACAGCAATCAAAATGAAGCTGGTAAGAAAGAATGTGCCATTTATTATTATTATAAATACTTCTAAAGCATTGTAGTCATAGTTTATGTGTACAGCATGCTTGCGTTCCTCCAATATGACTTTTGAGAAAAGAAAGGTTTTAATGTTCTGCGGATAACGCTGGGTTAGCTTAACGTTAGCCAGTAAACAGCTCACTCCATCAGACTGATTCTGTCGGGTGTGTTTATTATTTATACTTTATGTTTAATTATTCTTCATAAATCGTGTTGATCAGACTGACAATTCCAGGCATCCGATGGCCTCCTTCTTCCACCTGTTCTTCCGGGTCAGTGCCGTTCTGGTGTACCTGTTGTGTGGTTCATTTGGCGGATCCTTCATCGCCTGTATGGTCACCATCATCCTCCTCCTGTCATGTGACTTCTGGACTGTAAAGGTTTGTGTTTAGAACAACTGATCAGGTGTTACTACGAAATCCTTACAGTTACTGTAGTTAGTGGAGATTAAGTCAAGCCTCACTATTACTTCTATTTAAAGATTCCAACAAACCTCTGACCCTACATATTAAACTTCAGCTTGTAACTTGCTTGTCCTGTTTGTCTTATTGTAGAATATTACCGGCCGTCTGATGGTGGGTTTGCGCTGGTGGAATCAAGTGGATGATGATGGAAAAAGCCGTTGGGTGTTTGAGTCCAGAAAGGTGCTATTACACACTCACACGGTCTTCAGTAGAGTGGCATAAAATACTTCAAAATGTATTAAAAAATTGTACTATACCATTTATACTGCAGTAGATGTATTAGTGTAGACGGGACTGCTTTGTTTTTAAAGGGGTCATATGATGCGATTTCAATTTTTTTCCTTTCTCTTTGGAGTGTTACAAGCTCTTGGTGCATAAAGAAGATCTGTAAAGTTGCAAAGACTAAAGTCTCAAATCCAAAGAGATATTCTTTATAAAAGTTAAGAGTCAGCCACACCTACCTAAAACGGCTCGTTCTAACACGCCCCCACAT